GTGAAATGTGCTATTACGCAAAACGTGTAGGGCGAATTTCTCATATCACATTGATGCCTAAATGGTTCGAAAGTTTTGAGTAAACATGCACGGGGATAAATATTCGTATTAAATTTATGAGATAACGACATACTGGTTTTAAAATGCCTCTTCCGATGTACCCTTCTTCAAACTAAAACTATCGCTCTTCGTGAAACTTTATTCGAGCAAATTTTAAATTATAAACATGTTGCCTGGGATTTGTTCAATAAACAAGCTAGAGAATATGTACACATTTTGTGGCTCATATACAACAAATATGATACCTTAAGCTCTCCTTGGGCATTATTACGTTCACCCAATGTGCTCGCGTCGAGAAACAAATTAATGCCAATAAATTAATCGAAGAATTTATTTTCTTATGCACAGATAAAACTCCACACTATAAAACGCATCATGTTTCCAGGTCCACTAAACAGAAGACCTCGAGAGGAATGTTTGTGTAATAAAGTTCCAAGTGAGACTGGACACATTCGAATATTTCGTTTTGTTTTAATATACATCCTTGATATTTAAAAGAAAAAATATTCCTGCATTTTTAACGAATCTCAGACGTGTTGTTCTTTGGCATTCATATTAGGTGTTCACACAGTTTAATCCCTTTGACTTATCTTGCCATCTTTTATGTACACGTTCCCAGTACGTGCTCACCTACTGGGAAACAGCTTCATCACTTATATACACCGAGTTATATTTTGTAGATAAGCCCGTTTCTGTACGGAAAGTGTAGAGCGACGCCTGCGTAATAACCCACTTTCAGAGAACCAAAGCACTTGGCCATGTTCGGTTTTACAGCCGGCGCCACCCCCTTGGCATAACGCGCGGAACATGAACTGGTGTATTCTAAAATACACCCAGAGCTGTTAATCAGAAAAGCTCTATCCTTCGTCTAACCTGAACATGGACAAATCGCAAAGGCTACAAGCGCGAGAGTGTAGCTTTGACAGGTGCTCCCGCTGCGTGAGGGCTCCTGCAGCCGAGGCGCGTTCCAATGCATGGAACTCGCAATTGTAGCCTTTCCGCTTTGTCCATGTTAAGACGAGGCGAGTGTAACACGCCTCTCAATATTTATTTTCCTATTCTTTCTCAGGAAGCCACTATACCGCGGGAGTACCCGTCGCTTCTCTAATTTCAGCTAGAAAAACAAGGCAAGTTGTTCGGCCCGGCAGTAATCTAAAACGACGTTCGCGTCGTCTCTCGCTTCGGGAGATTAGGTGCCATGTGCACACTCGGGAGCATTGTGCTCATTCGAGCCCATCGTTAAGAGCGTCCAAGGTCACTCGCAATGCGATGCGCATCCGCCTTCAAAGCTGTTCTCAGCCTCTCTTACGAAACGCCAAATGCCATTTTTTAGAGCTCACTCGAAGGCGTGCTAATCGCCGGCTGACGGCGACGGTTAAGCCGAGTAGGCAGAGTTGATTTGCGTGGCGCCGCGTCGAAGTTATATATGGAAATACTTCATACCTATTCCTATCCGAGTCCTCGCTACCCCAAAGATTCATGCCTGACCTTCGGCTTGTATATGGAAGACACAGCGAGAGCCAGCGTAACGCGTTACTTGTAGCTTGTTCCGTCTTCTGTAATCAGGTAACTATCTGCGTTAAATTTTGTTGTGCGGAAAAAAAACCAGAAACACAATTGAGTTACTTGTCTGCACATTTTTTAAATATTTTTTTTTAAATTATTATTCTAATTTACGTGCTGCCGTCGCCGCGGCAGCTTCCGCAACAGTAATCTTTACCGAGAAACGTATGCGGTAAGCGCTGCGTTCTTCGCATTGTTACCAGGAGCGTAATATTATCAACTATCTGGTTTCGGACGCTTGTTTTGTCCTTGCACCTTATCGAAACGAACGCTGTGCTGTACTTCGTATGCGTGATATGCTCTTTTCGCTTTAATCGCTGAAGATTTTCTTTTCCGTGAGGACGACGACACGAAAAACTTCCAGAAATCCTGCCTGTCAGTGATGTACAGCATCGCTGTAAAAACGGTGGCAACGTTTACGAAGTTTCCGAGTACATCGCCGCACATAGTGCCATAAGCGTCAAATTCGTGCAAACGCTTCACCTAATTGTCGCTCATAACACTGAGAACAAAACGAAAATTATCGGAGTTTGTTTGGTTAACCTTTAAGCAGTTTGCTCTACTCTCGTATGGTATCTGTGTTTCCCGACTTTACGTGGACCACATGCTACTCCAAATTAAAAAAGCAGCGCTTTACTTTTGAGATAGTTCCTTTTTTAGTAACAAAGTACGTAAAGAGTCACGCACTTTGTGATTATATGACAAAGTATAAGAAACGGCACTCGGTTACGTTTTGTAACTCGTACGTGGCTCAGTACCACTAAGTAGAGCACACCTACATTGGCTTAGGCCCAGGCACGTAGCCAAGATTTTGTTTCGGGGGGGGGGGGGGGGGGGGGGGGGGGGGGCAACCATGGCAAAATGTGTATGAGGGAGAAGGGGGAGAGGAGGTCCCAGCAAAATGGAAGATTTCGAGAGGGCCCGGGCCCCATGGGCCTCCCCCCTGGCTAATTGCCTGCTTAGGCCCCTGCCAAACGTTTGTAGCGTCTATCGGAAGGGAATCAATTCCGACTCTTATTAGAACTCGTAGTTATTAACGTAGAGTATACACCAACTTATGTTTACAAACAAAACGGAGCGCCCCTAGCGGACGCCATCGGCGCCGCGCATGCGCGATGGGGGTGTGGGCAAGAAGCTCGCCGTCGCCAATAAACAAACCATTGGAATGCGATGTTGTCGGCGTCCGTGTGAGTCCCCCCGTCCTTTTTCGCGCTCGAATTGTTGATTCTACGTCTTCCTCGCGATGTCTGACTACTTGAGCGGCGTCAGCGAAATTACCGCGGCTCGTTACACCGCAAAACTTCGCGTGAATAATGTGACATGTGGCGATTCATTCCGCGTGGACGCCGCAGTATGTACGCTGAAGCCTGTTTCGCATGATGCGATTTCGCTCGCTATTTTCAGTCGCGACGCCGCTCGGGTTGCAAAAGCGTGAACCGTAGATGAGATGGTCGACGTCGATCCTGAAAATCGCAAGCAGAATCGGACCAAGTGAGTTAGGCATAACAAGTCGGTGATGGTCACTGGTAACAATGATCGACATCTCCTTGTGTCTACTGTTTACATCGAGCCTGCTTACCAACCTTTAAATTTAAGTCTTTTGAGGCCTGCACTTACTTCTTATCGCAAGTACTGGGGCAACGTTTGGTCTACGAGCCAGCGTCGTCTAAGAGAGCAGACGACAAGCAGAAACGTTTGAAAGAGCAGACGAGAGCTCGAACGATCAGGCGGCCATTTCAACTTGAAGACGCACTGAACGTAGTCCGCAGGTGGTCCGCCCAACTTGACAGTTTTCTGGCGTTCATGTTGGAACAAAACAAATAAATTTAATGACGAAAAGTATCCGTGAATTCAACCCAAAGTGCTTCCCGCCCAAGGAATCGTCGTCCGACGGCGTCTGCTTTTCCCTTTTTACGGCACATATCCAGATTCTCTGACGAACCGAGCACGTGGAAACTGACCTTGAGAGCTTTCTCGACAGTTTTGGTATGAGCCCAGTCACGGCATTTTGACGCTAAGGCATGTTTTTGTCTAGTTCCTATCAAAACAACGCAGGAATACACGTCTGGCATGGGACTTCTGCCCACAGCCCCAGACCGGAAGTGCGACCGACGCGCCACCACCGCGCGGTGACGTCACAGAGATCAGTTGGTGTATACCCCTAAGTGTTTCCCCTCCGCTCCACACCGCGCCCCCCCGCCGCCGCCCCCCCCCCCCCCCCCCCCCCCCGCAAAAGTATCCCGACAAAACTCAGGTTCAGCCGCTAGACTTATCAGGACGTAAGCACGTGCGGCAACCATACTCCGTTCACGCCAAAGCTGAGACTGCGGTGGAGGCTACGTCCTCGTTACACCAGTCATACGCCTCTCTTTAGGCACGTCATCACGCTCCCGCCCTTACCCACGCGCAGAGAGCCCGGTCAGGTGATAAGAGGGAGGCGGCTGATTGGTTCGGCGGGCACGTAGCTCCCACTGCTGTCCCAGCTTGGTCATAAACGGAGTATAGCACCTAAAGCTCCCTGCGCGACCGGAAACCGTTCTGCTCGGGGAATTGGAGCAAATTTTAATACCACCTATAGAAGAGAAGGCCTGCGCCCTTCCTCTCAGAACGTCAGGATCCACGCAGCGCCACCTAGCTAGCATCACCATCGCCGCCAGAGCGTCTCGCAGCGTCTCGCAACAAGCGCGACGCTTGCACGCTGCTACACAAAGACGGACGCGCCTGCCGCCATGTGGTGACTCTATAGATTCAGCAGGTTTGCCGCCTGGTGCAGGTAGAAGATTTCCGAACAAGGACGTCATATGCAGGCCATGCCTTTAGGTACTAAAGGTTCAACGCTCCCTACGGGTTCTCTTTTATTTATTCAAAATTGTTTTCCTCGAGTCTTTTTATTAATAAATGCCAGAAATTATTTTATGCCATTTCTATTAAAATATTTCGCTACATCTATTGCTTATTTTAATTTAGCCATACTGATTTTTTTTCTACAGTTGTGAACTAATGCACTCTGCTGCTATGAAAGTGCACCGAAGACGAATCAAAATAACGACGTCTGCTTCTCTTCGTTTTTTGCTTTTATTGTTGAGCGGAAATAGTTCAATATTAGGTGTTCGATTGATGGCACTCGACTACTAAAATTGTCTAGATAAGTGGAGCACTCCTCCGTGCTTCTTACTATACTTCATTTCATCTTACGTCCCAACGCAGCGGACGCTACGAGCTGGTGGGACCATTCAGACAACTTCTAAAGCGACCATCTTAGCGTTCGTCACGTTTTTTACGTGCTATCTAATTTTTGAACCAATCATAAACAGAAAAACACTAGTGACTTGCACTTTTAACGCTACTTGATCGGTACCATTACCTCGTAGCGTCGACTAGCACGACGGCGCAGTGTGTTCGAAAGAACGTGGCGAAGATACCATGGGGCAATATCTATGCAGAAGCTTCTCGAGTACAAGGGAACAGAAATAAAACAAAACAAAACACTGACCAGTGAGGCTCATGTCGAAGGACTCAGCGTCAATCTTCCTCAAGTCCTGGACAGTCCTCCAGGTAAGCGTGACCAGCTGGTTCTGCGACAGGTCCACGGTCACAAGGTTGGGAGCTCCCATGAACATGTGCGCCGGCAGGACGCGGAGCCGGTTGAACGAGAGGTAAACGATGGTCAGGTGCGGCAGACCGTCGAAGGCCAGCGGATCGACCTCGGAGATCTCGTTGTACTTGAGATCGAGCTCCACCAGGGACGACAAGCCGCCGAAGACCCGGGCTTCCAGCCTCTTCAGCTTGTTTCGAAACATGTCGAGCCTGAGGACCCGCGACAGGCCCTTGAAGCTATGCTCGGTGAGGGCCTCGATGGAGTTGTCGCTGAGGTCTAGCTCTTTAACCTTGCCGAGGCCCGCGAAGGCAAAGTCCTCTATGACCGTCATCTTGTTCCGCTCCAGGAACAATTGCGTCAGCGACGGTAGGTGAGACAGGGCTCGCGCAGGCATCTTCTTTAGCTTGTTGTCCGCCAGTTCCAGCTTCTTCAGGCGAGGCAGATGCGAGATGCAGTCCGTCTCCAGTTCCGTTATCTCGTTGGAGTCGAGGGACAGCACCGCCAGTTTCGTCAGGTTGTAGAAGGCGTGTGTCTTCAAAACACCCAACTCCGCCTGGGAGAACTTAAGACGCTCCAAGACGGGAGCATGTGGCAGGACGTCGGAAGGAACAAACTTTAAGTGATGGTCCTCACTGAGCGAACTGAACACAATCGAGACGATGGACGGCTGCTTCGCGAAGGCTTTGAAGACGATGTCGGCTTCGGCGATGTCTTTCACCACGTAGCAAGTCACTTCGGTCGCGTCATCAGTGATATCGTCCGTGTCGCAGCGGCAGTATAGCGCTTGGTCGATGAGATTGCAGAGGTTGGGTACGAGGTCCTCGGCTTCTGACGCTCCCGCTTGGAATGTTGCCGTGAGGAAGATTAGGAAGAGCTTGAGATACCTAAACCAAAAGAAAATTGGAGAAACTGTGAGCTTAACGTGATTATCCAATAAACTCGATAAGTAAAACTGCGGATACAGTACAGTTTATAAGGTAATGTAGAATTAATGATGATTCTTTGTTTAGATCAGTGTCGAGTGCAGTATATTCATGTAATATTTTAGATATAATTGTATATACGCTCTCAGAAGTCCCTAAGCGTACGCTTCCCCACAATGCTCTCGAAACGCAAGAGCTATCAATCAACGAGCCAAAGGTCATCGAAAAAATTTCGGTCAGTGACCCGTCTTTATTCTTACCAATTAATGACCGCACTATCCCCATATACGGCTCTGGCCTTGGGGCGCTCGGGATACAGGTGGTAAATACCGAGTGCTTACAGTACCTCCCGCTAAATGGTCATGTTGTCGATGACGTAATCAGTCGGTGGTACAAGCTCCCTTTCCTCAATGCCCTTCACCTTTTCCACTTGGTGGAGCAAACATCGGAGAGGAGGCGAGTCCCTCCTCGCCTCGTCGCAACACTCCTCCCCGGCGTGTTGCGACGGGGAGGAGTGTTGCACACTAAAATAAGTAACCAAAGGAATAAACCCTAAGATAAAAGGAATAAACCCTAAGATAAGTAACCAAACAGTTAACGAGACCCTGCTCTTCGTAAAAATATTGTTTTCATACTTTTTGCATTTCCCTCTTGGAAATAAAATAAAAATTACTCCACTGGACGAAAAAAAGAAACGCCGCTCCCATTTCCGTTCTAGTAAAATTGTAACGAGTTCTCGTTCCACTTCCACCGATGCAAAATGAAACGGCTGCGTCCTTTCGTTCCTCCTAACAGGGAACGCGTTCCAGGAACGCCGTTCCTTGGAACGCCGTTTCGTACAACACTGCTCCAAACATAAATCATCGGTATTCCTTTAATTGGATTAACCGAACAGAATGATAAAGGGCACAGTATACACCAACGATCAGTCTCCGTGGCTGGAGAAGTTTTGCCGCTGTGACCGCATGACGAATGGCTGAACAACTTTCTCGTTGTGTGAATTAATTAATGGAATACCAACAACTGCAGCCGTATTCACCAGGCGTGACTAACCAGCGACGAAAGAACGGCTAGGACAGGGAGTATTCCTCGGAGAAAACTTAATCGCCGCAAGTGGGTTACTGCTCAGGAGTAACAAGCGAACAGTGACTGGAAAATAAAGGTTACGCCGGCGTGTACTCAGAAAATGCTACTACGTGAACGAAACGTTTATCGCGTAAAACGTAGACATTAATTAGGTAAAAGGAAACGTTACAGCCATAGGGATTTGTTGCATACAGATCTTATTAAAGGAAAAATTGAACATCGAAAGACGACATGAAGAAAGCCGGATTGTAAGCGACGTAATGAAGATGGAAGTACTCTTAAACTGCGGCCTCTCTCGTCGTTCAGTGACCTGTTGAGATCATTTTAGCGGCAGCTCTGTCCTCTACCAGAGGTGATATCCAGAACATTTGCACTCTAAGAAATGCCCTACGCGTCTACATACTCGCAAAACACTCGAAGAGTCAACCTCTCCGATCTACGAAATCGGCTCAACGAATGATGAGGCGGAACATCTGCTTAGACCTCAAAATGAAGTATGCGCTCTGGCATTACGGAATGCAAGCATGACGCGTTGCATTGCGTAATGCCACAGCGCGGACTTCATTTTTAGGTCTAAACGGATGTTCCACCTCATCATTCGCTGAAGCTGATTTCGTAGATCGCTGAAATTGGCTCTTCGAGTGTTTTGCTGGTAAGTAGACGCGCAGGCATTTCTTAGAGTATGTTGCTACATTTCCTACTGGAGTTGTCCATCGGCGTTTTGAGGCAATATTTGCTTCGTTCAAGATGACGGTTGGCGGTGATAGGAGTACGACACGGCGCTGAGCGCTAGGCACCCACTAAACAGCGGCTAAACTAGCCCTACTCTTTCACTACGATTTGTTAGTCACATTCTAAAGGGGGCCCGTTCTTACACTTGCCTTTGCTCAGAACCGAGCTCTTGGGATCTCTCCCGAAAAGAGTGAGCGGTTATCTATGAGGTGGCCCTGGAACTGCATTTCACTAGAGCGAAGGTATCGCGATATTTGCGAGATCAAATGTACGTACTATATCCATAACAGGGGTCTCAAACGCGCGGACCGCGACACTCTGGGACGCGACTGCGAGCCCCGTCCCTATGTCTCAAGTGCTACGTGCTCCGAAGTCATAGGTTAATATGGGGTGCGCGTTCTCTGTTATGGTCAAAATTCCCAGGGAGCAGTGTCCACGGTTATTATCCTCCACTCGGTCGTGGCCGCGGGTGCGACTGCAATCAAGAGAAAGATTGAGCGCATTCTGAACGTCGCCGTGACGACAACGTCACGCGCGTTGCCCTTTCAGTTACAGAGGGTCGCAACCTTCAACTCTAGTGTGTTGAAATGAAATACTTGATTACATCCTTACCTAGAAATTGTGATTGGACGATATAAGTTAAGCTCACTGCTTCCACTACGGAAATATTCGTGGCTAAGTGGTTGGTCAGAAGAGCTATCAATTAACGCGCCCAAGCTTGTTTAAAAATTTTAGTCAATGATGTGTCCTTATTCTTTCCAATTTATGACCACACTCTCTACATAAGCGACTCTGGCCTTAAGGCGCTCGGGACACGGGTGGTAAATACCGAGTACTTAGAGTACCTCCCGCTATGCTATCGTTTTTGTCGATTACGTATTCAGTCGGCGGTGACAAGCTCCTCCTTCGACGTCTTCCCCCTTTCCACTTAGTGGAGCAAACGCCGGAGAGGAGGCTAGTCCCTCCTCGCCTCGTCTCGCCTCCGCTCAACCCTTTTCTCCAGCGTTCGCTCAGTTAGAGGGGGGAAGGGTTAAGAGCTGAGCAGGGGGAGCTTGCCCTGCTTTTCTTAACCTACAACAGGGTATGGTGACGTCTGCTGCATACGTCTGCTGGTGTTTTGATCGAATGGCGTGCTAGTGCACACCAAGGAGCTTCTGAAAGGAAAGAGTAAGGTTGACGTTCGAATCCGCCCCTAGCAATTTATTCAAAGAAACTTCAAACGTTTTCGAATCATCTGGTGTCGATGGGCTGTCACTTCGACACAAAATTCCTGTAAAGCCCTATCAAATATTTTGTTCGAAGGTACCAAGAATGAACACGTACCCAAACACATTCCCTGCAAAGTTCAGACACGATTGAAGTGTTCTTTATCTCTGTCGCGCCAGTTTCATTCGCTATCATATGTTCAAATTGTTTTTGTATTATATTTTACTGGGGAATACTGTACTGCACGTAAAGAAGAGTTTCAAGATTGTGAAAACAATTTAACGTAAATTTGCCTTTGAAACTTGCATCGCTCCACCCACACGTCATTTCATATCTCGAGTAAGTCCGTGTTCTACCCCGTCAGCCTCATTTTATTATTTGCAATGAAAACTGTCTTGCCTTTTAACTTTTCTCGGGGGCCTTTCTGACGGCAGTCAAACGCCGCTTCCCCGGGCATGAATGTCGAGGAATGCAGTCTCTACTGACAAGAAGACAGCTTCTTTGAGACGTCATACTAGCTTTGTTCCAAACATCGTAAAGATTTATCGAACCCCTCTTCGGCGAGCCGGGGCAGTTTTCTAAACCTTCCAAATTTTTCTCCAAGCAGGGCCCCGTACCGCCTTCACTAAATGAATGAGCGACGCCGTAAATCTTGCCGCGATGAAAAGGAAGCGCATCGCTAGATGCGAAAACCGAAGTAAAAGTATTCGTTTATGACAGGGACATAAATTAAGCGTCGTGCTATAAAGTAAACGCTGTAATCTTGTTATACAAGTCAAACGCATAAGCAACTGCTTTCTCATAAATTACGACCTTCGTTACGAAGAGGAAGATACTTTCGAAGTTCCCCGCATCTACGACAACTACCCCGACTGCATGTGTGCCTGAAGCGTTTAAGCCTACATACGCACAAGAGGAGTCCAACGTTATTTGGCTCTCCACTGGTGAAGCGCTATAAATGTTTCCTCTCTGAAAGGCCGACCAGGAAATCTCTCAATCTCTCATCCGTAAATAAAATGACTAATTTCGTCTTTCAAAAATATTCCCCCAAAGATTGACCGGTATCTTATTGTTATCAGTCATTATCAGAATTCACTAATAATCCGGGAGTTAGCAGATTGTTCCATTACCTCCGAAAACGATACCCGATAATAATACTGTCGCGAAGCCGTGCTTGCGCGCGTGTTTAATTAAACTTCTTTGCATTTTTGCTCGTGGGTTTGCGAGGGTTTCTTTGGCCGATGATAATCGTCTTTACGGCACGGCGCATGGTTTCTACCGCAGTCTGGAGGCTCCAATTGGGGGTGAGAGTCGGGAGGCCCCGGCGAACGTGAACGCTGTAACGGTACACTTATTAAAGAGACCCACGTCGGAGTTTTGTCTTGTACATGTCTGCTTGTGAGATCTCCACTTGGGGGCTAGTTTTAGTTTTTTCCTGCGTCCATTTTGTGATGCTGGCTTTGAATGTCTTTTGCATTTTTTATAGCCACTTTTCAGAACATTGTTCGATGTTTATTGTCTTGCGTGGGCTTTTGATTTTGGGATGCCCATGTTTGCTTTGTAGTACAAGCCCTTTTGCTGCTAAGAAAAAAAATGGTTGCCTATAGATTGCCCCCGAATACTGCTAAAGTCGATATAAGCCACCGCTAAGCTTTTGATCGTCACTGTGGCAGTGGAGGCCTCCCTGCACGTCCGACCACCTTGGGCTGTAGAGTCTTCCGCCCGGTAACTCAGAAACTTGCGACCCCTTATGGCCGTGGAGGATTTTGGCTCGCCCGCCTTTGTGTGGATTCCTGTCTGTCTTGTTGTGCTGTGGTCGCAGCACCCGCTGGAGGTGTGATCGAAGAGGACGGCAGATGAAGTCACCAGAGATAGGAGTATACTCCCCCAAAAAGCTTATTGTCCGATTGTCTATTGTCGAAAATAATCCCTCGAGA